TTAATTATAGAGCTGGTTAAGTTTATTTCACTTTTTGCGAAAAAAATATTACCTACAATATCTCTTAGATTTGACACGCTCTAAATTCGTGACTGCTTGTCTCCTATCGAGCTTTAGCCGGAGCTACATGCTGACGAGCCAAGAATCCAAGTTTGGCCTAATGAAATTGACGCAGCTGCTTAAAGTGCGCCTATAAAACTACAAGAGTATGGAGAACGTCGCCGCGTCGGTGCATACACTGTACCAGATGGCGAGCCAGACAAGACAATACTATATAAATGGATTTATGGATTCTACCACTATTACCTATAGTCAATCCGTGACCAACCGTTTTCGGTTTATTGTATTTATGACGCGCTTATGGCAACATCGTAATCGGATTATTCTAATATGAACGCGATTAATTGCGTTTTGCGTGTCTTGAATACTCACAATTTATTGTGCGTTTAATATCAATAGCATCATTGCACTTACCTGAAACAAAAGAAAAATTACATATGAAATAAATATAATATTTAAAACGCTGTTTAAAATGTAAATAATTGAAGAAATGTTCAATAACGCGATATTCTACGAATATTATTGATCTACACATTTCACTAAAGAATTTCGATTCTCCATAAACTGTTATTTCTGTATTTCTAACAAGAAAACTACTATTGTATTATTTTTCTTGTTACTATTTCGATATAATTTTATTTTTTCTAGTTTTTATAGAAATATCCACGCGTATCCATAAATTAAATCTTTAAAAACGTATGTTTCGTTAACTCATCTCCATCAAACTAGACATCGTGCATTGAAAAGGGTAACAACGATGCGATATTTGTCTATGAGAAGGGGACGGAATCGCTACGTAACGTTCTGCGTGCCTCGGCTTACGTAACACGCGTAGCCGAAGGAAAGGGTCCTAACTATTTGCTCGGCTGTAGTGCTATCTGTTTCGATTCGTGTTTGCTGTTCCCATGTTGACAAGCGCACTATGCTCGGCCTCACGAGCTCGACGAATCGTTTATATATGTATTTGCCCATGTGGACGCGCGTAGACGATCGCACACGATACGTGTACGTTTATTGATGTATATGTGGGAGTGTCACTACACTGGTACGCTGTAATTTTTTAAAAATAGTACTTAAACCTTTACTTAAAACAATATATATATATATATATATATTATATACAAATAATAAAGCACGCACAAACACAACGCTATAGCGGGTTGGTTTGAATTTACGGTAGAATTCGAAGAATGCCGGTTTCGGGGGCATTACCCGATATGCATTTATATCCTTTGTTCTCCTCACAAAGCTCGGATGCCGAGGCTGAGACTGCCAAGAAGTCTATCTGCCATTGAAGTCTCTATACAAATGCTAAAGCCCGAGCTTAAAATACAATAATATTGGTACGCTGCGGCTCCGAAACGTCATGATACTTCGCAAAACGGAAAATTCATCCGCCGAAAATTTATTTATTTGCATATTCCGCGGTACGCTTTTATCTCTAAAGAGATCGTGTGAGTTGATTTTTAAACTTTTTTTTACTGAATGATAATAAACCAATAAAGAATAAAAATAGAATCTTTCTACAAATAGTACTTTACTCTCGGCATAAAGAGACTTACTTGTTTTAATTTGTTGAGAAAGAATTTCCTCTAAAGGAAATCAGGTGTACTACTAATTCGCGACATGAATTTTATGGATCCTGTTTGACAAGTTTAGAGCTTTTCCTCTTAATGAAAAGTTGCCGGGATAGAGTTTACGATATAAATTTAAAAATTATTAAAAGTTTCACACGAACTTATACTGTCACTTACATTTAAAAGTTGCTCAGAACTTTAAAAGTTTAAAGATTATTATTTGAAAAACTCGCATCTTGTAACAAAGCGATCTTTCTTCCGTAATCTATTCATTTAATTCTGCTTCAGTTGTTCATCCTACAAATTGCCAATTCAATTCTATTCTGCGCTCCCTTTTATCCACCATTCTTTTATCTATCACAACAAGCCGAGCAAAACAAATCTCTGATAGACATCGTAATAGAACATGGACATCGTTTAACGGACATTTCAGCTCCTTCTCTCCAGATATGCATTGGATTCTGCTCGTTATAAAACTTTTTAATTAATTTTTAAATTAATTTAATTAACCATCGCTTCACTATATTACAAATGTAATACACAATAAAAATAATTAGGGAAAGAATCTTTTTATCACTTTTAAATGATACGAAACGTGCGTTCAAAATAGAAATACTGTTCACATTTTCCACGGTATTACAAGCTCCGATTATCGGTAGAGATTTAATCCCACTTGTGCTCTCGTGTATCTAAAAGTCAAAGCTCACTCCGGGGCGAGCGCGCTTGAAAGCATTAAACGGTATTTGTTCCTGACCGAATCTTCTTTCGCAGAGCGCAAACACGATACAATACCCCGGCCGATTGTACACGGTGACATCGTCAAATGCGGAAATTGTGCATGCGCGACAAAAAAGTGCATCCTCGACACAAAAGTGTTAAGTCGATTCTCCCTCTTCGCTAGAAATTCCAACGGATTCGTTAGTCTAATCGAAAAACGATTCATCGTTTAGGAACAATATTAAGGGATCGAGGGGGCTTTCGTTCGATCGGATGACGGTGAACAGAGATATAATAAGGATCTCGCTTTTCAGCCAATTTCGCCTTAGCCTAACGGAGATTTAATCTCGGGATTTAAGCGCGGAAATATTGAATTCGCGCGAGACTCGCTACCCCTACCCTTTCCTCCCGATAAACGATAGTCTTCGATGGAAGTTTCGCCGAATGCGGGGAATCGACTCGTGGAAAATTACGCTCGAGCGTATATTCGTGTTCTCGCGTTCCACCCCGTATAACGTCGAGCCGATCCTGGCCGCGGCTGCGGCGGTGGCCCCGGGTATGAACGCGGAGAGTCCATTGCACGCCGACTCTCGAGATATCCTCCTCTATTTCGACGATGGCGTCCTCAGAGTCTTGTCCCAGAAGCCGCCGCCATTGAACGGACGGTTTGTTATCGCTTTCCCGTCTCTCCCCCGAATTTCCTGGAGGACGAGTCCTCCTCCGAACTCCAGAACGGAGGATCTCTATATAGAGCTTTGCCATTGGAGGCCATTGTGCTACGGAGGTTTTGTCGTCCTCACCTCGCTCGATTTTAATGACGGCACCGTTTTCGAAGGCGAGTTCCCTGATCGCCGCGCGCGATTCCAGATAGATCGATCGCCCCACTTCTGTCCTGCCGCGCGCCGATTGACCAATCGTGTAATAGGTATTGGTTGGAAAAATTCACTTTTTTTTTCGCAAAACGAAGATATTTTCTCGCGATGCGTTCACGTAACTGCATCTTGAATATACGTCACAAGAGATTCTTATGTATTTAATATTTAAAAATAATAAGAAAAGAAGACATATCACCAATAAACGGTCAATTTTAATAATTGATCGCTTTGACTTATACATGTCCACGAGATTTTTAACTTTGATTTCTAAATGAGATTAAATTTTAGTTTAAATTTTGTACACGAAAAAAAATTATTTTGCTGGAAGGCAAAAAATTTTGATCTGAAAACAATTCCAAAAATTATGTATTTTGATGGACCAACAAAATTATTTTTCAAATCTGTGTCCGGCAAAATTTTTAGACCTTCCGGCAAAACCGTTCTTTCCGTGTATACTTTTGCGATAGCCCGGATGTAATTTAGCGGTAATTCAGAATTCATTCGACAATACCTTCCTTTGCGTTCTGCGTCGCCCACCCACATACACGTCGGCCGCGGCGCGTGCGTCCGTTCTAGCGGTACAATTAAACGAAACGGAAATTGAGGTAACTAATTGCGGGTTTCCGGTTTTAGGGTCTCCATACCACAAGGTATTACGCGAACGCACCCACGCACAAACACCCACGCGTTGATACACCACCCCCGCCGGCTCGATTAAATTCCTGTTACCTTTCCGCGTCCCGTCATGTGCCACGCCATCGAACGTTGTAAAGGGCCGGTGCTTCCCGCAGTTACCATCGCCATGGCAATGGCACGTGAGTCAATCATCGGCGGATATCTGCGATAGGCCTGACAGCATGGATCGCACGAATGTGCAACAATCGATGTGGGGTATCGACAGAACGTTAATCTTTCGACGTGCGCTCGTTGGAAGTCGCTCTCGGCAGGAGCGGGTCCTTCGTAAAGTTACATAAAATATCGGTTCTCACGATATAAAACTGCAGATATTCGTTGGCCTCCGCCGATGACCGGGATTTTAACGAAAATGCAAATTTTTCTACTGATTATCTTAATGACGCCACTGTTTGAAGTACGTGTCGACGTGTCGAGCCATTAATGCGAAGTCACCGGCAGGACTAGACATAATGGATGCTTTCGAACGGAAAAAGTGATCGAAATAAAGCGACGGTGGGCCGAGACCGAGGAGGGGGGAGGGAGGCTAAGACGAAAAGAGGGATTAAGTTCACGCTTATAAAAAGACTCCATCCACGAAGAAGAGTCTATAATTAGGCGAATTCGTTTAATAAATTATCAGCGGGTGGCTAACGTGGGATATATATGAGAGCCAAAGTCAATCACCGGAAATGAATAGTCTGTTTGATCAACTAACATTACGCGACTGCGGAACGCCGAATAATCCATTAATTCCAGACGAGTCGAGATAATTTGCGATAATAAAAAAGAAATTCGCGCACAATATGTTCTTTATCAGTCAGAATTATTAAATTCATTTTTTTTCAGATATTAAAAATTACGCGTCCCACCGAATTACTCTCACAAAAAAGTACAAATAGATCCTTGATCATTTAATTGAAATACCTAAAATACATACTTTTACAAACGTGTGCAAATTAAAACGATTGTCCATTAAAATTATTGTCCGCCGATGATTTCGACATGTAATTTTTCTCTCATTTTTATCCCTAACGCACATGAGAATTTAAACTTAAACACTCGGAATTATCGAATTACCGAATTAGTGTAGAAAATACATTGTTAAATTCATAATGCCAAATTAGGTAAACTCAATTTGAGTTATTTTTAATCATTCCTATAAGTCGCCACTGTTTCTAATATGTCGTTAATTTAATTGAAACAATGGAGTTAACTAAAATAATTGAACTCAAGAAATGTATTAAATTTAGTTTATAATTACTAAACGCATTAATATGAAGCAATTCAATTACAGAAATGAGTTCATTAAATTAACGCGGTTATTTTTTTAACCACATGTTTTGCGTTAAAGTAATACATTTTGACACACATGGAAGTTGAAACTAACCGAAATGTTATTTAACTCAAGAAATTGGATTACAGCTGCTCCTTTCGTATTTAACAGTGTATTAAACTTTAAATTGAAAATTATTGCCATCAAAGTCAAAAAGATCGATTCATCGAGTGCTGCACTCGGGATGTGCTTATAATTGTAATTTCATAAATAAAATAAAACATACACAAAATAAATATTTGTACAACGTGCCATATTTTTGAAAGCATTCCTTGCGACCAGATACCAATTTGCGTGGGCACGTTTTATTTTTTTTTGTAAAGAAATGAAACTAAAAAACTTGTAGCATGTCGCAACGCGCGACAAAAAGGGGAACACGATGGTATTTACGAGTTACAGCGAACGGCTCGTGTTGCGCTCGTGTTGTAACTTTATAACATAATCGGAATTAAAATGTCGGGATGTCTTTCAGACGTCTTTACGTCGTTCAAACTTTTCGTATGAATTTATTCCTCTCCCTGTAATACGTACACCGCACGTGAATACGCGATTATTGGCTTTAATCCGAGGTTTCTGCGGAAGTTTGGCGTACACCCTCCATGTAATTTCGGTTTATCTGGACCGGTTCGAGCATATAGGCAGGCACCTACATAGCGCGCATACATCCTTCTATGGGCTAAGGGTATGTTTATGCACGTGTGTTTACCTATTAGCGACACGTCGGGGGCCCGACGGGTACGTCCGACGTACAAGCTTTGTGATTGTTCTCACCTTTGCAGTTCGCACCTTTGCATATCCATCTATGCCAAGCCCCGCTTAGTCCTGCTTTTCCAACGAGCGCTCCTTGTTATCGCCCGTTACTTTCGCGCATTTCAAATAAACAGCCCCGGTTGTTTCAGTTTCGGTAAACTCCGCGGGACTCGCGAGCACACTGCTCCGAAAAGTCAGTTTTAATTCTAAAATTTTCAGTAAGTGTAGAGACATCTCGAAAAATGTAATGATCTTATATCGTCTCGAAATACAATCGGAATTCATTCTAACAAATAATAAAATTGTTCATTATTTACAATAAATAATTAAAGTAATAAATAAATTATATAAATAAAATAGCATGATTTTTATAGTTAAAAATAAATAAAAATCGTTATTCACAACGCGAATTTACCCTTTTGAGATTGATATATATATATATATATATATATATATATCAATTTCGTTTTAAATATCATTGTACACTAGTTCAGCTATAAAGAACAGACCTAATTTATCAAACTTCAAATGTTCAGTTCAGTATCAGTGTTTCAACAGAACTTTCCTTGTTGAATGTTAAATTTTTAAAAATTGTTAAATACTGTTTCTCGTTTTGTTTATCATTAGTTATATAAGAAATGAAAGGAATTATTTTGAACGACAAAAGTACAAAAAAGTTTTAATTTCGAGCCTGACACAACAAATAAATTTATAATTCAATGTTGAAAAAATTTATAATTTTGCGATAAACTACACTGCCTCGATTGTAACTCATAAACAACGGAATTGTTTCGAAAGAATTAGAACACAAGTACTGCGAATATATAACCTCATATACCTTGGAAAATACGTAACATTCCCATATTTTACTCCCTCGGGATTACCCTGTGCGTCTTTCCACCTAATTTTCTGTTTCGCAGAATACACATGACGTACGAAATTCAAGGAAGCGAGTGAGCTAGATAGTTTAGTTGTCACGTTGCAACTAAAAATTAAAACGTAAGTCTTGAGTAAATCTGTATAGGTTAGAACTAGCTTGCTCTTAGAGAGTATTGTATACCGTTCATGCTACACAGCTTGAATAATCGCAATCTCAAATTTGTCCGATTACTTACGTAAACATTATCCTTTTACGCACGTGTTTATTTATTACAAGTAAATCACACGACTTTTAACCGCGTATGTTATGATGCAAACTTTTTGGTAATTCACACATAAGTGGCATGCATGAGTATGACCTGTATGACTACCGTGTGGCGCCAGCTAGTGCGTATCAAAGAGAAACCAATGCAGAAATCTCGTGAATGAGCTCAATGAGCAACACCGTGAAAACAGTAGAACCTCACGCCGAATTCAACTTTACCAGCCAGAGAATTGCAGGGAATCCAAATAATTCATGTGGATTATATGCTTGAAGCGAGACAATACGAGATGTGTATGTATGTATATACATACATGCTATGTATAAAATCCAGTGATCAATTTTGAAATAAATTCGAAGAAGTTATTTCATTTGTCTTGTTTGTTTTTTTTTCTTAATTTTTTTATATTATCAAAAATATTTAATTAGATTTAAAGTATAATTTATTCATTAAAATTGATGGAGAGAAATTATGTTTAAAAAATCAATAAGCTAATAGGACAGATCTATATAAAACTGGATATGGACAGCAAACGTCTGACGTAATTCAATAATCAATGGACGTAGATCGACTTCTAGAAAGAGCCATGACCTAAAATCTAATTTGACCCGCAATTTATCGAGGACGGACGCTATCGGATGTGATGCGTAAAAGATTACGACGGCACGACACGACCAGATAGATTTTTCGTCGTTAGATATTTTTTGTATTGCTGTATGTGATACTTAATTTATTATATTAATTATAGGTTTAGATTCTTACGCGAGAATTATAAAAAAGATCTATGAGGAGAAAGTATAATATATAGAAGCAATGGAAGCAAAGTATCTAATGTATAATTAGTTATAAATATACGATAAAAGAACAATTTAATATTAATTTCTTCCTTTTCTGTAAAAATTTACAGTAGCATAAAATTGCTATATAAATTCTACAATCACTGCAATTGTTATTACTATAAAATTCCCCTTTTCTCTTATTGTCTCTCTCTCTCTCTCTCTCTCTCTCTCTTTCTATTACATTTGCTTATATATAT